AATTGCATTTGATCAGATGTCATATAAGATGGAGTTTAGGGTATTACATTAGCATGTATAGAAGATTAATTAATGAACAGGAATTAGCGAGTAAGAATAAACATGGCACTTTCAAGTTGGCAGGCTGTCGGTATTGGAAACCTACCGAGATTAGTGCTGGAGCCTCAGTTATTTACAATCTCAATTAATGAGTCAGATTTTCTCATCTCTAGAGTGGGATGCACTGAACTTGCATTACTGTCGCATGTTGGCACCCTAATGAAGTCCTGGCACATTGCCTGGGAAGTTTAAACTTTTGATGCGCTGATTTGCCTATCCCAGACACTACGCAAACATCTCTTGCACTGATCATGGATCAGAGACTTGGGCACTTACCCTAGGAAAGTTACACTATTTATTTAATCTTTAATGTAACTACATGATGAACAGCATGACTGAAGTCTCCTCCACAACCCAATCTAAGAACTCATCCCACAATCCACCAAACAACTCACCCCATCCCACTACTTGTTTGACCCATCCCCTTAGTCGTTCAGCCACTTCCTTGAGATCTTTTAAAAAAAATGCACAATACAGCAGCTGATGTTGTAAAAAAGGGAGCTTGTCCTCTGCATTATTTCCCCTTCCCTTTCACCAGTTTGCTCCAGGATTGCACCACCGAGGCTTTGTTTTTGCAGCCAAGATTGGAATATCTGGTTGAAAGTGTGGAGGGAAAGAAAAGCATGCAATGATCTCTGGAAAAGCTCAGCAGGTCTGGCAGCATCTGTGAAGAAAAAATCAGAGTTAACGTTTCAGTTCTGAGGAAGGATCACCGGACCCGAAACGTTAACTCTGATTTTTTTCTTCACAGATGCTGCCAAATCTGCTGAGCTTTTCCAGCAACTTTGTTTTTGTTCCTGATTTACAGCATCCGCAGTTCTTTTTAGGTTTTTAAGCGATGATCTCTTTAGGCTGCAGGAATGCATGCAGCATTGCTGATGATCTGAAAACTTGAATGAAATGATCAAGAGGCATGTATCTATGCTTGCTGTTGTCACAAAGATAGGTGGGAATGTAGGCTGTGACACAGGCTACACACTGTGGAAGCAAGATATTATATAGTTATATATCAATTAAAGGAATGGATACTGTTCTGTACAGCTGAATGCGAATCCCAAAGGCTGTGCTGCGTGTTTGATGCTATGGTTAAGGACAACATCTCAGGGCTGGAGAGGAACTTGGAGAGGGGTCCATCATCCACATTGGTACCAGTGACATTGATAGGACTGGAAAGGAGGTTCTCCTGAAAGAATTTGAACAGTTAGGAGCTGAATTAAAAAGCAGATATCCAAGACTATCTTGGGATTACTACCTGACTCAAGGGCAAACTGGCATAGGGTAAAATAAAGTCAAGAAGTTAATTGCGTGGCTCAAAGACTGGTGTAGGAGGAATAGGTTTCAATTCCTGGACACTTGCACAGTACTGAGGTAGAAAGGAGCTGTTCTGGTAGGAAGGGTTTGACTTGATTCATGGTAGGGCCAGAATCCTGGCAAATCAAATAACAACTAGGGCTGTAGAGAAAGCTTTAAAATAAATAGAGGATTAGGTTCAGGAGAGCGGTTGCGAAGGCCTTATATTATTTATTTACCTACTTTATTTTTTAGAGTTCAGAAGAATAAGGCTTGACCTTATTGAAATGTATGTGATTCTAGGGGACCTGACAAAATAGATGTTGAGAAGATGTTTCCACTATTGGGATAATCTCAAACTAGGGGACATAGTTATAGAATCAGGGCATCTCTCTGCAGTCTCTGTATCACAGCTTACATTTAAAAGTAAGGTGCAAAGGAATTTCTTTTACTAGAGGAAGGTGAATGTCTTGAATTCTACATATTTACAACATAGTGGAGACTAAATCACTGAAAGTATTTAAAAAGGTGTAGTAGATTCTTGAAGTATCAGCGAGTTGAGGGCTATGATGAGTTGCATAAAAGAGGAGTTCAGGCCTATGGCAAATCAGCCACTATTTTGTTGAATGGTGAGACATGCTTGAGCAGCCAAATAACCTGCTCCTATTTCTTATTTTGTTAAGTTCTTCTATTCTTACAAAAGTATATGGTGACATTGCAGGGCCCCTATCTAGGTAATAATACCCAGAGTGGGATAGGAAAGGACAGGGTGCACAAACACAAAAATAAGCAGCAAATAGGATCAAAAGTGAGGTGAAGCGAGAATGGTGAAAAGGGCAAAATGAATGGTTCTTTACTTAAATATATGCAGTATCCAGAATAAAATAAATGAATTAATGGAACAAATAAAGTTTAATATATATGTTCTTAAACCATTATGGTGGCATAGTTACAAGAAAATCAAAACTGGGAACTAAATATTCGGGGGCATGTGACTTTTGAAAAGGAGAGGCAGAAAGTAAAGGGTGGTGGGGTAGTTTTGATAGTATGAGATGGGTAAATATGATGCCAAGAATTGATCTTGGATTGGAAGATGTCGAATTCATATGGGTGGAGATAAGATCTAACAAGAGAAAGAAGACGCTGTTGGGAGTAGCCACAAAAATTTATAACTTACTCAGGGCAGTTTCCTAGAACAATTTGTTGTCAAGCCAACCAGTGATCAGGCTATTTTTAGATCTGGTAATGTGTAATGAGGCAGATTTAATAAATGATACATTTAAAAAATGCGGGTACAACAAGCAATTAGGAAGCCGTATTATTGCAAAGGAATTGGCGTACAAGGACAAGGAAGTCTTGCTACAATTGTACAGGGCTTTGGTGACACCACCAAGCATAGGTAAAATACAGATTTCTTGCAATAGGTATGGTATAGGAAGTATTCTTTAGTTTGGCTCCTAGGATGAGAGGGTTCGCTATGATGAGAAGCTGCATAAATTGTCTTTGTTGTTTATAGAATGAAAGAATGAGAAGTGATCTAGTTGAAACTTACAAAGTTCTGAAAGGTTCTTTTTTTCCAGGCTGGTGAATTTATAACGCATGATCACGGTCTCAAGAAAATAAATTGAGATACTAGGACTGAGATGAGGAGAAATCTCTAACTTGGATGGCTGTAGAAACTGTACTGATGTCTGTATTTCAGACAGAGGTGGACAGATTTTTGGCATCTCCAGGAATTAAGGGATGTAAGGAATGGGTAGGCAAGTGGAGTTGACGATAGAGAGGCTTGAGGTTCTGTTTGGTATAGTCCTGTTTTTATTTGCGTTCTTAAGGTTATATTCTTCCTAAGGTGAGATAATTAGAACCTGGATGCAGGACTGCAGATGTGGTTTAATCAGAACTTTAATAATTTCTACTCTTTGGCTTTTACCTAAAGTTGGTTGGAATACAATATTCCATTAATTTAGTCCATTAGTTTTCAATGATTTCTGTATTTGGACCTTTTTTTGTCTCCACTGCTCTACGATTCCTGTCATCTTGTTATCCAGAAAATACACCGATTTCCTTCCTAAAACTGTGAATAGATGACCTACACTTTCCCATATTAAACTCTAATTGCTATAATTTTGCCAACTCGCTTAATCTGTCAATGTCGCCTTGCACCTTTGACTTCTATTTGCAGTATTTACTTTGCCTAACTTAGCAGACCTGGTTTTATGGCCCCCTTTCCTGCATTAAGTCATTTGTAAATGTAGTCATGAGCTGAGGCTCCAGTCCGTATTTCTATACGTTGGCCAAATCCTGCCAATTGAAATGCATAACTGAAATAACTCCACAAGGGTTGGTATCCAGTCACCAAGTCACCCTTTTAATACACATTACATGACACTGATCCAGCTAGCTCAGAGCTGGCTCCTAGACTGAACAAAACCCCTAACACTCCTGTTTATGGTTCTTGTGAAGATTTGTAGCTTGGGTTGTGGATAAGATTGTTAACCAGCCAGCTCAGTGAGCAAGCTATCGTACAGATGTTTCGTCTCCACGCTAGGTAACATCATCAGTGTGGCCTCCGATGAAGCGATGTTGTTCTACTCTGCTAGGAATTTATATGATCTGATCTGTTAAGTTGGATTGTGTCATTTCCGGTTCTGTTCTGCATGGGTTTGTATGTGGGGTCCAACTCCACATGTTTGTTGATTGCATTATGGTTTGAAAACCAGGCCTTTAGGAATTCCTGTCCATGTCTGTGGTTGGCTTGAGCTAGGATGGTCGCGTTGTCCCAGTTAAATTGATGACCATGTCTGAGTGCACTGAGATGAGGGAAAGTTTGTCGTGTCGTTTTGCTGCCAGCCAGTGTTCGTGTTTCCTGATGGCTAATTTCCTTCCAGTCTGGCCGATGCAATGTTTGTTGCAGTCATTGCCAGGTATTTTGTAAACTACGTTGGTCCTACATGCCATAGGTATGGGGTCTTTGGTCCTTGTGATTGTGAGAAACAAAGACCCTATACCCATGACTACGTTGATCCTACATATCATGGGTATAGGGTCTTTGTTTCTCACAATCACAAGGACCAAAGACCCCATACTCATGACATGTAGGACCAACGTAGTTTACAAAATACCTTGCAATGACTGCAACAAACATTACATTGGCCAGACTGGAAGGAAATTAGCCATCAGGAAACACGAACACTGGCTGGCAGCAAAATGACACGACGAGCTTTCCCTCATCTCAGTGCACTCGGACAATGAAGGCCATCAATTTAACTGGGACAATGCGACCATCCCAGCTCAAGCCAACCACAGACACGCACTGAAATTTCTAGAGGCCTGGTTTTCAATCTGTAATGCAATCAACAAACATGTGGAATTAGACTCCATATACAAACCCATGCAGAACAGAACCGGAAATGACACAACCCAACTTAACAGACCGGATCATATAAATTCCTAGCAGAGTAGAACAACAGTGCTTCATCGGAGGCCGCACTGATCGTGTTACCTAGCGTGGAGTTGAAACGTCTGTACGATAACCAGCCAGCTCAGCGAACAAGCCAACAACCTTACTCCTGTTTATACCTGTCAGCCAGGACTCCCCGATTAGGACTGCTAACCAGGTCCAATCAGGGAACTCTTATTCCATGAGATCCATTTGGCTGACCTTGTTCCAATCACTACAGTAGCCATATCCAAGTGTTCTCATCAATTTCATACTTCCCTTGGTAGGTTGCACTTTCATATTTGCCAACACTCACCCAGAGGATGAATCTGTTGCACTTCCCGTGCACTTAGATTTGTACCTTTGTTAGCTCCAAAACAGTTATAACTGATCAAGTCTTTTCTCAACCTTTAGTCAATGCATTTAGAATAATTTGAAGATTTTTTTGTGCACTTGTTTTTGATTCCCCTTCTGTTGAAGAAGCTTAGTCACAACAAAATTTATATTCAAATTATTACACCATAGCATTTTGGGGATTGGGATTATGAAAGGGAACCTTGGCTTGGGCGGTGGTCAGTCCTGTGGGACATAGTAGGAATGTTTTGGATGAAATGTGTTTGGTGATTGCCTTGTTTACAATAATCCAGTTTGTGTGATTGTGAAATTTCATGATTTTGCCAAAAAGCTGATTGTAAATACTGCTCTGCACAAATTCAGAGAACATTGCTTTTGTCATATCTTATTCCGCATGTTTCCTCTAGCACCCATTCGAGCGAATTTGCTGCTAACATCTTTGAAGCTTATATGTTTCTGTTTAATAGTTAACTTGTTCTAAACAATTTGCTAAAAGTGTGTGGTCACTCATCACTGAGCAACATGTACCCTGAAGTATTGCCAATTTTCCCCATCCTATCATGTAGCAAGGTGATGTTCTCAAAGCTTGATATGTTTTCTGATTCTAGTTTTCATTTTATATCAAAATATTTTGTGTAAATCTTCACAATCATTGATTAGTCATCAGACGCATTTTATTATGTGTGAGGCCCTGGGACAATGTGAGTTGTTGTGACACTCTCAATTTTACTTGTAACAAGTAAAAGGGAATTTTAATGTATTTGGTCTACCACTGAGCATATGTAATAAGGTGGTAGAGGGTTGGATGGTAAGGAGGTAATTACTGGAAATCTTTATTTCATATTGCAGCCTTGAAAATTCTAGTGACTGAGAAATGTGGGTAACTAAGATTCTAAAACTCCAGGTCTGGCAGCATCTTTGGAGAGAGAAAAACAGGGTGAGTATCACAGAGGTAATGAACTGTTCCAACGAAGAGACATTTTGATCATTTTGAAAAGAGGGCGTTTAAGTTGTGAGTGGAAAATGACTCCTATTGGAATGGTTCATTATCTTTGCAACATGAACTTTGTTTTCTCTATCTGTAGATACTGCCAGACCTGCTGAGCTTTCCCAGCAGCTTCTGTTTTTATTTCAGATCTTCAGCATCTGTAGCAGTTTGATTTTACTCAAATATTTGGTATAGTAAACATTGCTACAATTTGATTCTTGCCCAGAATCATCACTGGGGAAAGAAATTAGACCCAACTCATAAATGGCTTGCAAGTAACTCCCAAGACAGTTCCCACATCTCAGTCTGGGCCCAGATTGGAAACAGTTCCCATTTACCAGGATAGTGATGATATGTGGGGCACAAAGTATTAGACAGAGTCCTTGATCTTTGCTCTGCCGAGTTACTATAGTTTGTTATACTCGCCCTTCCTGTATTTCAAATGTGTTTGTAAGTGATCTTTAGTTTTGATGACATTCTAACACACATTATGGTCATTTCTTCCCGTGCAGCTGGGGCCTTGTTCACCCAAAACTACTTAGTGTTCCTGAACTTTGTCACAGAATGGCAGACCTCTCTATCAGTACAGAGAGGTTTTTGAAGAATTTGTACCATTTTAAAAAACAAAATCCTGGTAAGGTAAGAATTTTGAACAGAGTAATCAGGTTACTGTAATTTATGAGTTAAATATACATGTATTTATTTTAGGAGAGGCAATTGTCTAGCGTTATTATCACTAGACTACTAATCCAGAAGCTCAGCTGATGTCCTGGGGACCCAGGTTCAAATCCCGCCACAGCAGATGGTGGAATTTGAATTCAATGAGAATCAGGAATTAAGAGTGTAATGATGACCGTGAAACAATTGTCAATTGTTGGAAAAAACCTATCTAGTTCACTAACGAAGGAAACTGCTATCCTGGTCTGGCTGATATGTAACTCTAGATTCACAGCAATATGGTTGACCCCCAACTGCCCTCTGAAATGGCCTAGCAAGCCACTCAGCTCAAGGGCAGTTAGGGACAAGCAATAAATGCTGGCTAGCCAGCAATGCCCATGTTCCACTAGTGAATAAAAAAAAAATCCAAGGCCAGGCAATGGCCTACTAATGTTATTGCTAGACTATTAATTTAGAGTGCCAGGTAATGTTCTTGGGATCTGGGTTTGAATCCCGCCATGGCAGATGGTGGAATTTGAATTAATAAAAATCTGAAATTAAGAGTCTAAAGATGACCATGAAACTGTTGTTGATTATTGGAAAAACCCATCTAGTTCACTAATGAAGGAAACTGCTATCCTTACCTGGTCTTGCTCGCAAATAACTCTGCACCCACAGCAAAGAGGTTGACTTTCAACTGTCTTCTGCATTTAGGAATGAGCAATAAATGCTGGCCTGACCAGTGACATTCATATCCTGTGAATGACTGAAACGACATGCAAAAGCTAGTACATGTTTGTTAAAATAATGCATTCTTGGAATCTATTGTGTTGGCCCCACTTCCTTCCATAAATTTGAAATATTATTTTAGCAAATTATTTTGCTGTTTCATTGAAGTGTTTTAAAGAGTTTTTAAATTCCTCAGTCAGCTGTATTACAATCTCTTCAAAGTTATTCTTGGGTAACATTCCTTTTTAAATATTTGGTCATTGGTTCCAATGCAATTAATTGTAGTTGTGCATCAAGTCACCAGGATGTGTGGTGGTTGGGGGAAGAAACGAGAGGCATTAGGAGTGAAGGTAGGAAGGTGAGAAATTGTTGAAGGAGATGGGTGAAAATGGTTGGAGAGTTGGGGTGGAAGAGACTTGTAGTGGTTCAGGATAAGAGTGTGTTAAAGTGACAGCAGTTCTGATTGGCAGATTCTAACTCTTCAGGATGTTATATTTAATACAGACTCAAACCTGTAGTGCCTGAACTGTTAATATGCATCACTGGGAATCTCATAATGCTAGTTATGTAGGAATCATTCTAAAACTCTCCAGAAACTCTACCTTTTAGGAAAGTAGCTTTATATGCTTTTTATATGAAGTAATTGTGTCTGAATTGTTTTCTTCAGTTTTGTCTTTTAGTGTGTGGTATGTTCACATTCCTGGCTGTAATTGGACGCTACATACCTGGTCTCTTCCTGTCCTACATCAGCTGTAAGTGCTGTTTTAAAACATCTGACTTGTAGATAAGTTGATCCTGTATAAAGTGAAATATTATCTCAAATAGCTTTCAAATAACTTCTGTAGCTCTGTATTCTGATCTGTGGTGAGTTTAGGAACTAATTTTTTGACTGAAATACTTTCATAAGATCATCATTGGTTCTGTTGTGTTCAGCCTCATGATTAATTCTTTTTGTATCTACAAGTAGCCTTTTCACCCTGCATCAACAACCATCAAAGGTAAGTTTGTGAAAGAAACAGTTGACTGGATCTGTTACGACTTCGTTGAGAAGGTGACTATTCAACAGCTAGTGCAGACCCTTTCAGCGTCATGAATGGGTCAGTGACCCATAAACAAAAGCAATCACAAATTATTTTTCACAGCTACAGTTAGACCTGCACCATTAGCCCAAGGGTATTGAGCACTCTTATTGCTCCCGTTTGATGTCATAGACCACATTGGTGGGTGGCAGCTGTGTGGCAGTGAGGGGAGTGGGCAGCGTGACTGGCCATAGGTTCAGGAGCAGGATGGGAAATTGAGTTGATTGAAAAGAAAGACAGTTATAGATGTGGTTTGTCTTTTTCATGACCACCTCAAAGTACTTTACAGTGAATTAAATGTATTTGTAGTCACTGTTAGCAAGGCATTCAATAAGGTTCCACATGGTAGGCTCATTCAGAAAGTAAGGAGGCATGGAATTCAGGGAAATTTGGCTGTCTGGATACAAAACTGGCTGTTGTAGGTTGCAATGGGACACTGACAGGATGCAGAGCTGGGCAAAGAAGTGGCAGATGGAATTCAACCCAGAAAAGTGTGAAGTGATTCATTTTCGAAGGTCGAATTTGAATGCAGAATACAGGGTTAATGGCAGGATTCTCGGCAGTGTGGAGGAACAGAGGAATCTTCGGGTCCACGCCCATAGATCCCTCAAAGTTGCTACCCAAGTTGATAGGGTTGTAAAGAAAGCGTACGGTCTGTTGGCTTTCATTGGCAGAGAAATTGAGTTTATGAGCCGTGAGGTTATGCTGCAGCCCTATAAAACTCTGGTTAGACCAACTTAGAATATTGTGTTCAGTTCTGGTCACCTCATAATAGGAAAGATGTGGAAGCTTTAGAGAGGATGCAGAGGACATTTACCAGGATGCTGCCTGGACTGGAGGGCAGGTCTTAGAGGAAAGGTTGAGGGAGCTAAGGCTTTTTTCATTGGAGTGAAGAAGGATGAGAGGTGACTTGATAGAGGTTTACAAGATGATGAGAGGCATAAATAGAGTGGATAGTCAGAGACTTTTACCCAGGGCAGAAATGACTATTACGAGGGGTCATAATTTTAAGGTGATTGGAGGAAGGTATAGGGGAGATGTCAGAGGTAGGCTCTTCACACAGAGAGTGGTGGGCGTGTGGAATGCACTGCCAGCAGTGGTAGTGGAGTCATATACTTTAGAGACTTTTAAGCGACTCTTGGATAGGCACATGGAGGATAGTAAAATGTATGGTATGCAGGGTAGATTGATCTTTGTAGGATAATAGGTTGGCACAACATCGTGGGCTGAAGGGCCTGTACTGTGCTGTGCTGTTCTATGTTCTATGTCCAATGTAGGAAATGTAGCAGACAGTTTATATTCAGCAAGCTCCCCTTAACAAAAATGTGTAATGAACTGAAAATTGGGTATTGATTCATTGTCAGATAAATATTAGTCAAGATTTCAGGGATAACTCCCCTGCTTATCTTCAGTATTATCCCACAGGATCTTTTAAACCTTTCTGAAAGGGCTGTCCAGGCCTCTATTTAATGTCTTATCTGAAAGTCATCACTTTTGACAGGGCTGCATATCTGCAGTACTGCATTGGATTGTCAATCTTCATTTTTAAATTCAAATCCTGGAGCGTGGCTTCAAGCCAGAACCTCATTCGCAGACAAGATTGCTACCAACTGAACCACAGCTGTCAGGCCATCTGAGTTCGACCTTAATTTTCAATAGTTTAAGACATATCTGACCTCAGCAGACCAAACAGCTGATCAAAATTGATCAGTGAAGAACTAAAGAAACTAAACTTTATCTGAGGGTATAACGAAGGGAAATATTCAGGCGCTTTATTGTTGCTGTTCTGAATCTTTGCTTAAAATATGGTTTTCAGTACTGTGAATTATAGTGGGACAGCATGCGCCAATTACAATAGTTTGTTACATATCAATTGTAAAGGTGTATTCTTTACTTTTGCTCCAATACATTATGCATGTTTCATGTGAAGATAATTATCTTGAACATTTGTCATGTTACTAAAGCACGGAGAGTTTCTAAGGTTATGGATATCTTTATTCATCTCAATTGAATCTCAACACAGTTGACATTAAGAACACTTGTTTCCCCACAGTTCCCTGCTGAATCCAGAAAGAATACCTGGTAACTTGCTTTGAATTTCTGGGCCTCCCTGCTCTGGTTTGCCACTCATTTTGTTTTCCTTTCTCAGTGATTGGTATACTGTTCTGGCCCCTGGCTAGTTATCACCAACTGGGGCTAAAGATTAGTGCCAGAATTGAACCTGTGCTCAAGCGGCTGGATTTCAGCATGAAGGGATACATGTTGGCAAAACAGCAGGAAAGACAGTGTGAGTAACGGGGAGAACTTTACAAATACAGTGAAGTTAACTCTGATTGTGGCATTCCTTTAATTCCTATCTGACTGAACCTGTGGTACATTTTATAAGAACTAATATAGATTAGGATTAAACATGGCATTTCAGAGCAGTAGTTTAATTGCTTTTATTTTGGCACAGTATACAAGGAGTTAAAATATGATTTATTCAAAAGTTACGTTCCAGCTGAACATACAAATGAAATACTTTGACTGAGCCTGGCCTAAGGGAGAGACGATGTCTTTTAATTGGAGCTTGTGGTCTATCATCACTAATAAATTTTGATTGTCAGCGTATTTGAATTAAAAGCCATAAGATATTGGAGCAGAACAGGCCATTCAGCCCATTGGGTTTGCCCAGCCATTCAATCAGGACTGATATGTTTCTCAACCCTATTCTCCTGCCTTCTCCCTGTAACCCTTGATCCCCTTCTAATCAAGAAAATATCTCTCTCTCATGTAAAGACACTCAATGACTTGGCCTCTGCAGTTTTTCTGGTCATACGTTCCACAGATTCACCACCCTCTGGCTGAAGAGATTCCGTTTTATTTCAGTTCTAAAGGGTTGTCTCTTCACTCTGAGGCTTTATTCTCGGGTCCTAGTCTCTCTCACTAATGGAAACATCTTTTCCATGTCCACTTTGTCTAGGCCTCCTGGTATTCTGTAAGTTTCAATCAGATCCCCCTTAGCCTTCTAAATTCCATTGAGTAGAGACCCAGAGTCTTTGACTGCTCCTCACATGACAAACCCTTCATTCCTGACATCATTCTTGTAAACCTCCTTTGGACCCCATCCAAGGCCAGAGCATCCTTGCATAAATGGCCCAAAACTATTCACGATCTTCCAAATGTGATCCTAACTGCTAACTGAATCTGCATGTTAACTGTAACAGTATCCTGAAAGAGGACTCCTAAATCTGTTTGTGCTTCAGATTTCTGAAGTGTTTTCCCCATTTGGAAAACTGTCTTTGTCTCTCTTCTTTCAACCAAAGTACATAACCTTATACTTTTCCACATTGTATTCCATCTGGAACTTCTTTACCCACTCTTCTAGCCTGTCCAAATCCTTCGTTGCCCCCTTGCTTCTTCAGTGCCACCTGTCCCTCCACCTATTTTTTGTCATCCACAAGCTTAGCAACACTGCCCTCAGTTTCTTTGTCCAATTTGTTAATGTATTATATGTTGTCGTCCCAGCAGGACTCCACTAGTCAATGCCTGCTGTCCTGAAAAAGATCCCTTTATTCCCATTCTCTGTCTTCTGCCAGTCAACCAATCCTCTAACCATGCAAGTACTTTGCCCCTAGCACTATGTGCTCTTGCCTTATTTAGCAGCATCCTGTGCAGCACCTTGTCAAAACCTTCTGAAAATCCAAATAGATCATATGCGTTGGCTCTCCTTGGTCTAACTTGTTCATAATCTCAAAGAATTCTAACAGTTTTGACAGGCAAGGTCTCCCCTTGATGAAGCCATGATGTCTCAACTGTATTTTGCTATGCACTTCCAAGTATTCTGTAATGTTGTCTTTAATAATCAACTCTAAAATATTATCAATAAGCAAAATCTGGCTAACCGGCCAATAATTTATCCTCTCCTGCCTCCTTGCCGCCTTAAGCAGTGGTATTATGTTAACCATTTTCCAGCTCTCTGGCACTCTTCCCTAACTCCAGTGATTCCAGTGAAAGATTACCAGTGTGTCCACAATCTCCTCAGCTATTTCCTTCAGAACACTGGGGTGCCACCCACCTGCTCCAGGTGATTTAATCACTTTCAGACTTTCCAGCTTTCCCAAAACCTTCTCCTTAGAGATGGCTACTATACTCACTTCTGCCCTGGCACACTCTTGAAGCTCTGGTATGCTATTGGTGTCTGCCACTGTGAAGACTGACATAAAATATCTATTCAGTTCCTCTGGCATTGCTTTGTTCATTGAAAATGGAACAGTACAGTAGAGGAACAGGTCCTTCAGCCCACCATGTCTGTGCTGATCATAATGCAATTCTAGACTAATCCCATCTGCCTGCACATGATCTATATTCCTCTGTTCCCTGCCTGTTCACGTGCCTGTCTAAACGCCTTTTAAACATTCCTATCATATTTGCTTGTGCCACCTTCCATTAGTACTTCTCCAGACTTGTTTCCCAGTAGTCCAGTGTCTACTCTTGCTTCTCTGTCACTTTTTCATATATTGGAAAAAAGCTCCTGAAATCCATCTTTTATATTATGAGCTAGCTTACCCTCAGATTTCGTCATCTTCCCTCTTATTGCTTTTTTGGTTGTCCTCTGCTGGTTTTTAAAGGCTTCCTACTAATCTTCGCCACAATGTATGCTTCTTTTTGTTGTTTGCATTTATGCTGTCCCTGACTTGTTAGCCATGGTTACCTCATGCTCCTCCAGCACGTTTCTTCTTCCTTGGGATGAATTTCTGCTGTGCCTCCTGAATTACCCCCAGAAACACATGCTGTTGCTGCTCAATTTTCCCTGCTGGGCTCCCCTTCCATTCAACTTTGACCGTCTCCTTCCTCATGTCTTTGTAGTTACCTTTGCTCAATTGAAATACTGTTACGTCTGATTTCAGCTTCTGCCTCCCAGACTGCTGGGTGAATTCTGTCATCTTATCATTGTTGCCCCCCTAGGGTCCTTCATCTTAAACTGCCTAATCAGAATTACCTGTTCTCTAGTTGACTGTACCACAAATGGATCCAAAAAACATCTCGTAGACAAGCCCACAGCCACTCTACGACACACACTCATAAGGACTAAAGACCCCATTCCCACAACATGCAGAACGAACGTGGTTTACGAAATACCATGTAACGACTGCCACAGACGTTACATTGGACAGACAGGAAGGAAACTAACCATCAGAATACACGAACATCAGCTAGAGGCAAAACGGCATAGTGAGCTCTCCTTAATATCGGCACACTCAGACAATGAAGGCCATCGGTTTAACTGGGTCAAGGTAACCATACTAGCCCAAGCCAAACGTAGACACACACGGGAATTCGTAGAGGCATGGTTCTCCACCCGTAATGCAATCAACAAACCTATAGAATTGGACCTCATATACAAACCTATACAGATCAAAACCAGAAATAACAAGACTCACCATAACGGACCGGACAGTATAAATTGCAAGAGGAGTAGAATAACATCGCTTCATCGGAGGCTCCACTGATGATGTCACCTAGCAGGGTGATGAAATGTCTGAACGAGAACAAGACAGCTAGGCGAGCAAGTCAACAACTTCACCGACAACCCGAGCTATAGATGTTTGCCAAAACTTTAGACATTTCATGAATTCCTTTTCTTGGGGTCTTCACAAGATTTTTCCAGTGCACCTGCATATTGATTATTGTAAAAGTGCCTTTCCTACATATCTTTTCTACCTCTTGATTTATTTTCTGTCCCACATTCTAAATTCTGCTAGGAGGTCTGTACATAACTCCCATCCAGGTCTTTTTTACTTTGCGGTTCCTCAACTCTTACGACACATTCTACACCTTCCCTCTCTATCATGTCTTGCTATCGATATCATCTGACATTGCAGGACCAGGAAGGAAACTCTGGAGTCTCACTCCTGCAGGAAGTAAATTTTCTGAAGAGATTTTTTTAGACTTGTCTTTTCTTTCAACACTTGCTTCTCCATCTTTTTGTTTCTTTATCTGTACCTAATTTAAGTTCACTATTCCATGTATTATTTGTTGCTGTTCCTGATCCCTGAAGCCCTGTTAATTAAGGAAGTAGATGTTAATATTTTTAACTAAGGTCCTAGATGCCGTGTTATAAGCTTGTTTTTGCACAGAATCACAAAATCTTTTTGAGCTCAAGACTGGATGTGGGTCTGGGGTATAACTAATGACATAAGCTGTGGGATGCTACAATGGAATCACTACAGCAAATTCTGAGTGCATTAGAGATGGAGGAGCAGCTCCATTTGTCCATTATCAACCCCAGAATTTTTTCCTTGGCTTGTTTCAGTACATCGCCGAGCACCAGCTGTCAGAACTGCAGATGATGGAAGTGATAGCGAAGCTGAATTGGCTGCCTTCTGCCCAAAGGTACTGATCATACTTTTTCCCTAATGGCATTGTTGAGTGTTTCCGAGTGACTCGTACTCACCTCTTGTGCTAACCTTGGTCTGCCTCTGTTAATTCTCAGATGCCTGCCCACCCTCTCCATAGCTGCTCACTCTCCTTGGCAAGCCTCTTTCCACGTTGCGTGCTGTTGTCATCTTACCAATTTATTAAAAAAAAGTTTTAAACTGTCTACAACTTCCTGTAAAGTTTATATATCAGGGTAACGTTTGAAATAGATTGGTTGAAGTTTTAAGTTGTTAATAATTCTTCAGTGTCTGAACTCTTTGAGGATTTCTGTTTTTTTTCTTGTTCATTCAGATTCAGTTGCACTTTATTGTGAAATCTGTATTGGTCATCTGGATGTTTTCCCTTGTGTGATTCTTGTGCAAAATTGTCTGAAATCAACAAATCATAGTTCTCTTTGTTTAGATTCTAAATGTTAACAATGAGCATATAAGGTGTAAATTGGCAAGAATGGATTGGGAAACCTTATCAAAGGGGTTGTAAACAGATAGGCAATAATTCATATTTAAAGAATTCTCCCTGAATTATAAAAACAATTCATTCCTGTTTGGTGCAAAAACCATCGTGTGCAAAAGAAATTAGGGATAGTATTAGATCCAAAGAGAGGAGACACAAAATTGCTGGGAAAAAAGCAAGCCTGAGGATTGGGAGCATTTTAGAATTCAGCGAAAAGGGCATAAAGTTTAATCAAGAGGGAGAAATTACAGTATGGAAGTAAAGCAAGGAACATGAAAACTGACTTTAAAAACTTCTGCAAACACATGAAGAAAAAAAGACTAGTAAAAATGTTAAGTCCCTTACGGTCAGAAGCCAGAGAAGTTATAATTGGGAATTTTAAAAAAGCAGAAGAATTGAACACATACTTTGGTTCTGTCTTCAGCAAAGAGAGCCCTAATAATCTGCCAGAAATGAGGGATGATGTGGAGGTGCTGGTGTTGGACTGGGGTGGACAAGGTCAAAAATCACACAACACCAGGTCGTGGTCCATCGGGTTTATTTGAAGATACAAGTTTACAGAGTCTCGCTCCTTCTTCAGGTGTCAGTGAGAGAGGTGGTATCAGACACAGAATTTATAAGCAAAATGTCAAAGGGTCATAGAACTGATGCGAATGTATTGAACAAACCTAAGATGGCTGTTAGAAAGGATTAATATGTAAATTCCAGAATTTCTTTTAAGTCACTGCCCCGAGATAACTAAAGGTTTTATCAGTATACCAGAGATGACATCTCGGGTCAGACACTGCATTTTAGGTGCGAGGCTTGTTTAGAATCTGGCTGTGTATTAACTTGGAGGCAAGGATGCCTTGAGGCATGGTATATTGGCGAAACCACATAGATGCTACGACAACGGCTAAATGGACACCACGCAATAATCGCCAGACAGGGCTGTTCCCTCCCAGTGGGGGAACACTTCAGCGGTCAAGGATATTCAGCCTCGGATCTTCGGGTAAATGTCCTCCTAGACAGACTTTGGGATACACAACAACGCAGAGTCACCAAGCAAGAGGCTGTGGTAATCTATGGGGTGAATTTTCATTTACAGATTTGTAATTGCAGACACGTTCTATTTTGACTGTCTACAAAATGTGTGCTTTTTAAACAATATGGCATTTTATAAATTCCTACTTTGGAAATAAAACTAGTCTGACTCCAAGTTAATACACATCCAGATTCTAAAAATGACCTCACACCCAAAATGCATTGTCTGACCTCTGGGGTTACTGATAAAACCTTTAGTTATCTTGGGTTAGTGATTTGAAAGAAATTCTGGGATTTGCATATTAATCCTTTCTAACTGATTAAAGATTTAACAGCCATCTTAGGTTTGTTCAAAACATTTCACATCAGTTCTATGACCCTTTGATCTTTTGATTATAAATTCTTTGCCACCTCTCTCATTGACGTGTGAAGAAGGAGAGAGACTCCAAAAGCTTGTGTGTTCAAATAAACCTGTTGGACCATAACCTGGTGTGGTGAGAAATGAGGGAACCAAGGGTTTAGTGAGAGGGTGGAATTTTTAAAAATGGATACTACTAACAAAATGGTGCTGGGGATGTTTTAATGGGGTTAAAAGCTGACAATCCACAGGGCCTGATTACCTATATCCCAGAATACTAAAGGAAGTGGCCCTGTAAACAGTTATTGTATAGGTGGTCATCTTCCAAAATTCTCTAGACTCTGGAGCAGTTCCTAGAGTTTGAAGGGTGACAAATATAACCCCATGATTTAAAACGGGGGATAGACTCAAAATAAAAATTCCAGACCAAAAACTGAAATTGCTGTGAAGTCTCAACAGGTATGGCAGCTTCTGTGGAAGGAAAGCAGTGTCAACGTTTTCTGCTTGGCGACCCTGCAGCCTTCTGGACTCTGTATCGAGTTCAATAATTTTACAACCTGAGCACTTTCTCCCATGTCCTTACCCCAACCGCACACGCCAGGCCTTGTCATCACATGGGCTGCTACTATGACTATCCCATTGACAGCTACTAATGGCCCTATGTGGCAGCTTTTGATTTCCCCCAAGGTGACCTCAACTGTTCTTCTCTGTCTGGGCTTCATCTCCACCTATCATTTACTCCTCCCTGCTCCTCCTATCCCACCTTCAATGTATAAACTAACCTTTTCCCAAGTACAGTCAATTTTGAAGAAGGGTCACTGGATTCAAACTGTTAACTCTACTTTGTCTCCAGACATGCTCCCCAGACCTGAGTTCTCCCAGCAATTTCTGTTTTTCTTTCTGATTTCTAGCATCCACAAATTTTTTTTGTTTAGAATTACAAACCAGTTAGCCTAACATCAATAGTGGGGGAAATGCTAGAGTCCATTATAAAAGATGCAATAACAGAATGTTTAGAAAACTTGAATAGGAGTGGACAAAGCAATGTGGGTTTATGAAAGGCAAATTGTGCTTAACAAATCTACTGGTGATTTTTTTGAGCATCTAACTAGTAGAATAGATAGGGGAAAATTATTGAATGTGGTGTATTTGGATTTTCAGAAGGTTGTTTTGATAAGAACTTGGTGAGCAAACTTAACATACATAGGATAGGAGGTGATATAGTGGCATGGATTGACCATTGGTTGATAGATAACAGACTGGGAATAAATAGGCTGTTTTCAAGTGACAGATGGTGACTAGTGGAGTAACTCAAGAATCAATGCTTGGGTCCCAGCTATTCATGAAATATACAACTGACCTGGATGAGGCAACCAAATGTAGCATTTCCTGATAACAAAAAAAGCTGGGTTGAGTTGTGAGGAGGATGCAGAGAGACTTGAGGTGAGTGAATAAACACATGGCAGATGTAGTACAATGTGGCTAAATGTGAACTTATACATTTCAGTGTGGAAATGAGAAAGGCAAGCGTATTATTCAAATGATGATACATTGGGACATGAGGATGTACAAAGGAATTGAAGCCTAAAAAGTCAAAAGTCAAAGCCCAGTCAAAAAATGTAGACAAGGGGTGCAACAGCAATTAGGAGCACAAACTGTATTTGCTTTCGTTGCAAGATAGTATGAGTTCTGAGGTGATGTGGTTTGTTGCCATTAAACAGGGTCTTGGTAAAGTTACTTCTGGAGTATTGCGTGCACTTTTGGTTGCCATGCCTAGAGGATATACTTACCGTAGAGGGAGTGAAGCAGAGGTTCACTAGTCTGATACTGGGCATGACTGTACTGGCCTGTGAAGAAAGATTAATTAGACTGGGCCTGTATTCTCTAGATTTTAGAAGGATGAGAGGGGATCTGATTGAAACATGTGAAATTTTAACAGTACTGGACAGACTAAGTCCAAGGAGGATGTTTTCCCTGTTTGGGAATCTAGAACCAGGGGACACAGTCTCTGGATACAAGATAGACCATTTAGGGCTGAAATGAAGAAGCTTTCTTCACTTGAAGGATGGTAAACCCACTGAATTCTGTATTGTAGAAGGGTGTAGAACCGAGTCACTGAATATATTCAACAAAAATATTTGAGTTTTAAAGGCATCAAGGAGTATAGGTAGAAAGCAGGAATATGGCATCAAGATAGAGTATCAGCCATGATCACAGTGAATTGTGGAACAGACTTAAGGTCAAGTGGTTCCCTGCTCCTGTTTTCTATATTTCTAAAGATGTCTCTCTCAATCCTCAGTAAGTGGTTAAACTAGTGGGGCAAGAATGGTTTAATCATTTTGTCAGTTGGTTAGAAATCCAGAGACCCAGATAACATTCCTGCTTCCACAACAGATGGTGGAATTTGAATTTTTTTAAAATCTTATGATGACCATCGTCAGTTGTTGTAAAAACCGATCTGATTCAGTAATGACCTCTGTAGCGAAGGAAAACTGCTGTCCTTGTCTGCCCTGGCCTACATGTGATCCCAAACCAACAGCTATGTGGCTGAATCTGGTCATCTAGTAAGCCACTTTGTTGTGTCAAATCACTGAAGAGTCTCAAAGGACTGAAACAGAATCGACCACCTGACGTTGCACTAGGCATTGGAAAACAACAACGGCAAATTCAGCCCTGCTGATCCTATAAATTCTACTTTACTAACATGTGGGACGCGTGCCAAAATTTTGAGCTGTCTCATAAACTAGCAAAGCAACAGTCAGGTGTAATCATACTCATGGATTCAGATCTTACAAACAATGGCCCAAACATTACCATGATCGTTCTGGCAGAGATGGCAGCATAGTACTGTACAGTGGGAAGGAGCTTGTCTGGGAATTCTTGACACTGAATTTAGAGATCAAGAATTCTTGTGGAATCTGAAGTCTGAGGTGTCAAGCAAACAATCCATCATGGCCTCCTCAGGAAGTCACCAGAATTGTAGGTGCCAATCTCCAGTCAATTAAATGTACTTCATGTTATATCAAGAAATGGCTGAAGCCATAGGATACTGCAAAGGTAAGGGTCCTGACACTAATCAGCAAATAAATGAAGATGTGCTTCCACATCCTATGCCAATCTA